TTTATGAATGTTTTTCATAATTTTTAAATCATGTTTTCAAAACGGAAATGACTAAATCAATAATTCGAACAGAATCGATTTAATTTAAATTTGTTAAATAAAATCTGAATTTAACCAAATGCGACTAACCCATTTATATACATCCTTATATATTACATAGCCATAGGTCTTACATGTGTTAGTATACTTTAAATATTGAATTATGTATATTAATCTAAAACTTAAATTATTTTACTTTCTTTATATATATATATATATATATATATATATATATATATATATATAACTGTTTACGGTGAATTTTTAATAAATAAATAAATTTTAAAATAATTTGAGATTGAATTTTAAATCTTCTTTTATTGAATTTTTTTTATAATGTGTTAATAATGATATGGTTAAATTAATGTCTTAATAAAGGCAAAATTACAGAACTAAACACAAAACTTTAAACAGTAATCAACATAAAATTGTTGATCTATTGATAATTAGGTCTAACTAATGTAAAATTTTAGAGATGCAAAGATTTTGAGTGCAAGTATTTTAATGTAAAAGTCGTAATTTAAAACTATGAAATGAAATACTATTTTTATAAACAAAACAATATAACTGCCTAAAAATACATTGTTATCCAACGTAATTGTTTAAAAAAGTCTTATTGTAATCACTATCACGTTTCATCTATAATTGATAAGCTTATATTTTGCAGTATTTTTATAAATTATTTTTATACGTTTGACCATTATTTGATGAGGCTTTTGCACTGATTTATTTATTATTTGCCTCATGGGGTGCTTCAATGACATGCACGGCCGTGCATGGCTATGCTTCATATTTGGTGATTCAGATTTAAATATTTTTTAGAATTTTGAGAATTATATCTAAGGAGCAAGTGAACTTGCAAAAAAGGAGAATATTGGCTAGGCTGACTTATGATAACTCTTAGAGCCATTTGAGAGTAGAGATCACAAGATAAGATGTAGGATACCTCTCTAGAGTCTGAGCAAGTGATTGAGAGCGCTTTTTGGAAATAATAACCCATCTCATCTCTTTTTTCATTATGATTCCTCTAGTTTGCTTGTATATTTTGAATGAACATAAATTTCTTTACATTTGCTTACTTTGTTCATATTATTATGAGTTGTTAAATTTATGACTAGGCTATGGTAGATCTTTTGCAAAAATTTATGTGAATTTTATGTTTAATAAAAATTTCAGTTTTCTTTTCTTAATTAGTTTTTATTCTAGCAAGTTTATGCCTAAATGTTCAGAATTGATGACTCTTAACATATCATAATTAATTACATTATAAGCGATCATATTACATATAGTTAATTGAATTATAGGATAAAGTAAGATAAAGAACTAAGTGAATCAAGCTTAGTTTTTCTTTTTCAATCGGTTATTAAATTAACAAACTTATAGGCTTTTTATGTTTTTCCTACTTTTTTATCTTGCATGACCATTGGGAGTAATACAATAGGAAAAAGATTATTAGCATTGCATGACCATTCAGTGTTAGTAATATTAGTATGAGTGATTGACGATTATAAGAAAATCAAAATTAAAATTAAACTAAAAATAAATATAAAGAAGTGAAAAGGTAAAATCACAAGTCCTAAATTTATCTTGAATATTTTTTAGTTAAATGTTACATTGTTTTCTTCTCTTATTTTTTAAATTGAATCTTTCATAATTCCTTTTATTTTATTACACACTATTTAAATTCAAACAATTAAATCAACATAATTTTAGTACGTGAAACAATTCTTGTAGAATTATATTATAAGAATTTAATTTAAAAACTCTTTATTAATATTTGAAAGATACATGTGCCCATAAACAACGATCTTTGTCATGTGTCTTTATATATAATTGCTCATAATATACTTGAGATTCTTCATTTAGAAATAGTTTGATCTAATTTCGTGAAGTATTCTTTGAATAATGCTTGACCAAAATTAACAAAGGCAATATTTTCTAAAAGCATATTGAAACATCATTTTTTCGACTAAATTTTGACATTTATGTACCACCGTAATTTTATTTGCAAACCATCCATGAACCTCCCCAAACTTGTCAAAAAAACAATTTTTTTGACTAAAAAAAAATCATGTTTTCATGGTCACTTCATTCTTATGACAATTACTTAAAAATATCTCTTCATTTCAAGTAAAACTTTATGTCCTTTCTCTACAACTAAAAACTTCATGTTTTCTTTGACCATAATCTTTTTATGAAAACTCTTCAATATGTCTCTTCATTTAAGTAAAACACTGTATTTCTCCTTTGTCATAATTTATCTAAAAACTTGTAAAAAATTTCATTTCTTTTTCAATTGAAAATCAATGTTTTCTTTGGCCAAATCTTTTCATGAAAACTTGTTAAAAAAAGTCACTTTCCTTTTGACTAAAAATTTATGCTTCTTAGGCCACCAATTTCTTATGAAACTCATCAAAATGAACAGTCATTTTGATTTTAAAAAAACATATTTTTCTTTCACCATAATTTATCTAAAAACTTGTCAAAAAGGTCATTTTTTATTAAAATCCTTACTAAGGCATATTATACAAAACTTTGTCAAAATATCTATTTCGAATGAAAATCAAGACCACGAAATCAATTAGCTCAACAAGATTTTTTGAAAAAAATTAGAAAACTTTGAGTTTATATTTTGGCATACCTTTTACATTATATATATATACACACACACACACACATGTGTGTGTGTGTGCATTATTTCATTCAAATTTTGCACTAATTCTTATAAGAATTATGCAGTTTAACAACAGAAGATCACAATTGAGTTTTGGGTGTATTTCGGTCCCAAATTAGATGAAAATAGAGCTTCACTGCAGCTAACATGCTCATCCCCTAACAGCCAGTACAGGGGTGCTTCATGTCACATGCATGACCATGATTATGGTTATGCACAACTGTGCTTACTTGTGAGAAGCCAATCTTTGAAGAAACATCTTGGTTTTTAAAACCCTATAAGAGGAACATCGCAGGTAGCAACAAGGCATCTTTTGACACCCTAATTTGGACATTGACAATCTTTGGAGCTATTGAGATCAGAGATAATTGGCAAAGACGAAGAAAGTCCTCTTTGGAACAAGTGATTGAGAGCGTGTTTGAAAAAAGAAACACTTTTCATCCCTTTCCCTTGAGGGATTTTTCTAATTTGCATTATGTTTTCATGTCTATGGAATTATTTACAGTTGTTTTGATTGTTTACTTTACGATGAGTAACTAAATTTATAACTAAGAGTATGGTGAATCATTTGTATGACTTTATATGATTTTTACATTTAATAATAATTTTAGTTTCTGTCTGTGATTGGTTTTTATTATAGTGCATATAATTATATGTTGGGTGGGAATTGACCACTTCTAGTATATCATAATTAATTACATAGTAGGTGACCATATCACATATATCTAATTGACTTATAAGATAAAATGAGACAAGTGAAAACTTAATTTTTCTCTTCCAATTGTTATTAAATTAACAAGCTCGTATGTGTTTCATGCTTTCTCTTCTTTTATTTTGTATGACCATTACAGGTAATCGTTTAGAAAAAAGACTGTTAACATTATATGACCATTGAATATTAATAAAATTTGTATAATTGATTGAAAATTATAAGAAAACTAAAATTGAAATTATATTAAAAGTAAATATAGAAAAGTGTAAAGATGAACCTGTATGCTCTAAATTTTTTCCAATAGTCTAATAGAAAGTGCATGTTTTATTACTTTAAATCACTTGTTTTATTCTCAATTTAATTATCACGCATCTCTTAAGTTCAAACAAATAAATTAAGACTCCATTGATAATTGGAAACAATATTTGTGAGACGATATTTTAAAAACTTATTTTAGAACTCCTTTATTAGTTTTCGACGAGTATACTTGCCTCACAAACATAAACATTGACTATCATAAATTATCTTTTCAAACAAATTTACAACTTGAAAAATTTTCATTTCTCTCAAACAATAACACTCTTTAAAAACATTAACACAATGTGAATAAAATTCAATATTAAATATTGTTATTTGTTCATCATATATATCCATTACTCTCAAGATAAAAAATTATTTTTCTAATTTCTATCTTCTTCACTTTTTAGAAGGACTCGTTAGAAGAATTGAAAAGTCTCATATTAAAGATTAAAAATATTTTTTTAATTAATATTTATGATATTTTTAATAAAAATATCTTTTTAATTTATAGGTTAGTAATTATTTCTGAGATTCAAATATTCTCCTATTATGGTGAAATTAGACGTTCAGTTCTATTTTCATTTAAATGAAAATAGACTTGGTTAAACAAAAATAAAAAAAAATAACTAAAAATTTTTTTAAACAAAATTCACTTAAAAGAGTTTGGTGTAGGAGGAAGAAGGAGTTGGAGATTAAAAAAAAAAAAAACTAGAAGTTTGGTATAGAATAAGAGATGAAAAAAGAACAAGTTAGAAAAGAAAAAATAGTTAAATACAAGAGAAGAAGGAAAGCAGAAAGTTAAAAACAAAAAAGAGATATTCTTAAAAGCAAACTAAATTTGTTTAAGTTAAGTTTATATAATTTTTTAATAATTTTTCTATTTTTACTTAAAAAAATTATTTTAAAATGAATCTAACATGTTCTTAATGATTTTGGTAAAGATTTTATTCAAAAAGAAAATTACTTGTTTCCAGAATGCCTTGCGACCGAATGTCCCACACAACATTTGACTATCAACAGAATCACTAAATTTTCCAATGACTGCACCGAATATTGTCATGCCAGTCTGCAATTGATCGTTATCTAATCTTGAACATTCCTTTTCCTTTTAATAAATGAAACTTTATTCGCCAATTGATTAAATTATATTTTATTATTATTACTTTTGTGCAATCCTGTAATACTGAAATTACAGTCCTGCCCCTTGTTATTCGACAACTTTCTATAAATTGATTCCCCGCAGACACAATACTTGGCACTTTGGCTGTTGTACAAAGCAGAGCATGAAAATGGTGTCTAAGGTCAGCGTTTGCATGGAAGCCTTCTTCTTCTTCCTCTTTTTAAACCTCACATATGCAGGAAGAACTGGCCCTTCTTCCTACGTTATTCTGAACAATATTCAACATGGGGTTAGTTAATTTCGTCAATTTATATACAAATATTCTCTTCAAAATTGCTGCAATCACATCACATAATGCAATTTTCTTCTATCTTGTTCAATTACGAATCGTCTGCTCTTGTATATTTGAAGGTTTTGGAAGAGGAAATAACCAACGTAGAAGAAACTTGTCAGGGCATTGGCAAAGAAGAATGCTTGATGCGGAGAACACTTGCAGCCCATACAGACTATATTTATACACAGAAGCAAAATCCATGAGATCAATTCTTGGACCTCTCTTGAAATCCAATGTTACCCCTGTAGTAGTTTTATACTTGAGCAGTACCCTCCATATGGGGCTTTTGACAGGAGCTACTTTAGTCATGAATCTGTCACTTACAGTTGCACACAAGAGGTCTTCATTTCCCTTTTTATTTTATTTTTTCCTTTTATCCATGTCGAATACCGATAGATGCATTTTTTTTTAATTTCATATTGTAAACCAATGTTGTATATTGAGTTTGGTAGGGATAAATTTGGACATTTAATTTTAGTAATTCACAACTTCAGTGCCATAATCTTGAGATTGGGAGTTCAGATACTACGATACATTTGGAACACTGATGGGATGATGACATTTGATTTGTTAAAGTCAAATAGAATGGATTCTTGCAAGGTGAAGCTAAGCATCAGCTGTAAAGTTTTCAACTTGTTTGGCATAAAACCTACAAAATGAACCGAAAGTCACTTTGATTTCCAAAGTGAATATTAACTTTTGCGGGGAGGAATAGACAGAGAAGTTTAAAATTTTTGAATTTTTAAGTTTGTTAGTTTACAATCAACCTCGAAGGTTAAATACATTTGATGTTCATAGCTATTCAACGAAACTAAAATATTCTTGCACTCATTCATCAAGTTTTCGTAAATGATCATGATGTGATTATTCTTTTAAAAAAATTCTAAATTCCTCCGATTATATTTTTCCTAACTTCTAGATTGTGAAGATCAGAAAGAAATTCGGTAACTACTTTAATTAAAATAAACTAGTTCACCCCAGATCTAAACATGGGGATTTTGTAACTTAAGTTGTCGCAGTAATCTTTCTGTGTATCTAATTTTGTATATTTTACATCTTAAATGCCAGGGTCTAGGAAACACGGGTCTAAAACCACACTCTTTTAGCAATCCAACATGGTGATCAGCATATTGTATTCATTAAAAGCGGAGCATTAATTTAACGTTTAGAATATTTGAGACACATCATATTGACCATGAAATATCAAAATACTTAAATTTTGATACACTATAGCGTATCGATAATTAAATAGTGTAAAAATTATTGTTGACATAATAACAATATATAATTAGATACTAATGCAAACTTTTACATTTTAACAGTTTAAAAATTTTTATATAGTAAAATAATTGGAATATACATTAAATATTATTTTAAATTATTTGTTATAAAAATTAATAATTTATAAAAAATTATATTATATTATTTTTATTTTTCAAAAATTATTGTTACCAACTCTATTTTGTTTTTAAGACTAAAATACTATTTTAGTCAATAACTAAACAATGTTTTGAATGTGTCTAAAATCATACAACAAAAAATTAATAAGTAATTCTTTATTAAAAATTATTCATTTAATATTTTTATATTTTATGATTCTTTAATTTCAAATAAATATTTATTAATATAATTTTTTATTAAATATAATTTTATTATATACTCTAAATTTATATTAAAAATTGACTAATAAAATAAGACTTAAAATTATGTTTTCGGTCTTTATGTTTTTGTAAGATTTTAGATTTAATTTTTTGTTTAATTTTAGTTTCTACTTTTTCTTTATTCATCACTTTTGTTTTTGAATAAGTAGACTTTACAAAAAAATTGATATACAATAGCCTCTTAATTAGTTATATTGGCGTTAAAGACTAAAATATAAAATTTAAAAAATCAAAAATTTAAATCAAATAAAAAAATAAATATACTAAAATTGAAATTTAATAAAAATATAAGAAGTAAAAATGCATTTAAAATTAAAATAAATTTATCTTCTATCAATTTCATTTCATGTTATAAATGTGGCCCGTGAAAAATGAAAAAAGAAAAAAAAAATAAAAACGTGCTATTTTTTAATGTATTTTTTAATTAAAGGAATATATAAAATAAAATTTATCTTATAACGTATTTTACGGTTCTTTTAGAAGAAATTTTACATTTATCTATGGATGTGTATATTTAGGAGTGTTCTTCTTACGTGGAACTTGGAAGTGGGAATTGTGGGGCCCAGATTATTAAAGTGGAAGCGGCGAGGGAGAGAGTGAAATAAGAGTGTGAATTTGGAGGGAATTTGAATAACGGAGAGAGATGGGAAAGGAGAAAAAGTATCTTCTGAAAACAGAACCATCGGAGTGGTCGTGGGAGGACCAAGCAGCTAACGGAGGCGTAAGCAAATGGGATGGCGTTAAGAATAAACAGGCCCACAAATATCTCAAGTCCATGGCCCTCCACGATCTCTGCTTCTTCTACCATTCCGGCCCCAAGGCCCGCCGCATCGTCGGTGTTGTCTCCGTCTTCCGCGAGTGGTACCCCGACGGAGACGGCGGTGCCGTTGACGTCAAGGCCGTTGGGGAAATGAGGAGGCCCGTAGACTTAAAAGAGATGAAACATTTCAAAGATTTCGCTCTGTTGAAGCAGCCAAGGCTTTCTGTTGTCCCCGTTCCCGATCACATTTGGGATAATATCTGCGCTTTGGGAGGTGGCTATGACGGTGATGGTAAACCATCTCACCCTAACCCTTTTACTTTTGCTATGAATTAATGTCTGTTAACAATTCATAACCCTAACCTAACAAAGAAAGTATGCCTCCCCCAACTGTTGTTGGGCCTGTAGAACTTGGCCCTTTACCTTATTTGGGCTTGTGCTTCTTTCTCGAGCCTTGCCCTCGAAGAAACAATACTTTCGACAAAAAGAAAAATACCAATTTGGCATTGTAAGAACCTTTTTCATTTGACCAAAAAACAAAGAACATTTTTCTTTGGACTGGATTCCTTTTTTCGGTCTTAATGAAGTTTCTTACTTTCTTCTTACTAAATGAACGAATTGAACTAATATTTTTTTTATGCGCTGAGGCAATTTCTTCCTACAAAGTACACCCTCGGCTCCCCATTGTGCATTTTTAATTTAAGTTATAGGTTTTTATTCTAAAATGTAGCATTAAATTATAAAATATTTAATATTTATCGTAATATTACTTTTTAAAATAATAATAAAAAGTTAAATCATATTTATGGATGGATATTAGTCATATATATTTTTTCTGATTTTCCGATGGTGTTTCTAATGATACTTGGCGTAGGTGATAGGTCAGTATCGTCTATGTCACCACATGAGGACAAAATTGATGGGTAGGCCTCCTTGATCTCTTGGATCTGGTTTTGCATGATTTTGCGGGCGCTAGTGGGGTGACATGTTTTGTTAAAGGATCTTCAGTTCAGTTCAATTTCCGAGCACAATTTAGCACTAAACTTTTATTTGTAATCACCTCAGTAGTATTATCTATTAACATATATTTGACGACTTTTATTTCTCTCTTTCTTTCTTCTTGTCATGTTTATCACTTTTCTTCTAATCTTATTTATCTCAATGGAAAAAGCCCAATGGATAGGAATGAAGCATTTTTCTTTAGCAATCTCCCAGGCTTCTGCAGCAATATTTAAACCAGAACTATCTTAACTTAGTCTCTTAAATTATGAATATTGATAAATTAAGATTTTAAATAAAAAATTTAAATTAAGAGTAAGAATTTTTAGATTTATACTTGTGTCTTTTAAAATTATTAAAATATTTTATTTATTTTAAAAAATATTAGATATCAATCATTTCATTCTGCACTCATAGACTTAAAAAATTAAAATAGTTATCTTTCAATAATATTGAAAGAGATAAATAATCATTTAATCACGTTATAAGACATCTTTTTTTTATTTTAGTCTCAGTAGATAAAAATTTGTATATTAGTCTTTATATACAAATTTATTTTTAATTTTATTCTTGTCATTATGATATGTTATAATGATGTTAATATTTTATTACGTAGTAAATAATTATTCAATATATTAGGTTTAAATTATTTTTTACTCCCTATCAATACTTTTTTTTTTTTATAATTTAGTCTCTATAAATAAATAAAATTATATATCAGTTTTTATATAATTTTTTTAAAAAATTTGTTTACGTCATTATGATGACATTTTCATAACAGAGTCATCAAGTGATATTTTTTTTTTATTTTAGAAAATTACTCTGAATTTTTATATTTTGTTTTATACATTTTTAATTTATGATGAAGACATCAATTATACAAGCTATAGCTTTTTTTTTTTCTTTAAACTTGTGTATGAATCATATTGAGAAAATTTTATATTTTAAATTATCTCTGTATGAATATTAACTTTAATATTTTTATCTTAAATATTATTACTTGTATGCTCCATTATATTTTGATAGTAATCCTCATTTTTTATCTATCATATTTATCTCAGTATTTTCTTTATATAGTTAATTTGTAGTTACAGAAATAAATAAAAATGATAATAGTAATAATGATTTAAAGAATGATTATGATTTTCTTATAAATGTACCAATGATAAAAAAAAAAGTTATTTGAATTTGGACATAACTTATAAAGATATATCCAAGATTTAAACCTATTACATTACATGGTTGTTTGTTATGTATAAAAAAAATCTAATGTCTAAAAATAGTAGGAGTGAAATTAAAAAAAAAAATTTATGTAGGAATTAATATATAAATTTTTTATTTACAAAGACTAAATTAAAAGAAAAAAGAAAGTTCTTGGGTAGGAACTAAAATATTATTTATCTCATATTAAAATTTAAAATAGTTATTATTTGATTATTTTAAGGATTAAAATAATATTTTTTGAGATTAGAAATTAAAATAAACTGTACTTATAAATTAATTTGATATATTATTTCATTGTTTTAATTTTTGCACCTGTCATTCTGTGAGAGATTGAGAATCCATTCTTCCGCACGCCGCTATTTTCATTACTTTAACTGCGTGAACCGTGTGGTCTTTTTCCCCACTTAAGTGGTATCTTCATATTTTTCTATCAGGAACAAGGTTTTGCACATGGGACTTTTCATAGGCATTGTTCAGTTGTTATATTATCAAGTCTCCACACATGTCCCTCTGCAATTGAATTTAAGCACGATCGTACTAGTGGATAAATTTTGTTTGAATCTGGATTCTCTCCGTTTGCACGAAACAAGATGTCTATTCTAATTTTTGTTTGAGCAAAATTTTAAAAATTAAAAAAAATGATAAAAAAAATTTACACAAAATTCGTTTAAACAATTTTTTTTTAATTTAAGTGAATTTTTATAAAATTAGCTTAAATAAATTTTATAGCTTAAGTGTATTTTATATTTTTTCCTCTTAATTTTCTGCTCTCTTTCTTTTTATTTATTAATACTTCTTCTTCAAAATCTATTTTCAACTTTCTTTATTTTTCTCTCATATTCGACTTTTTTCATTCTCTCTCAACTCTTTCTTTCCTTACTTCACTTTCATCTTATACTCAACTTTCTTCTTTTTCTTTTTCTCATTCTCATACTCACATTTTTCTCTTTTTTCTATACCTACCTTATTTTATGAAAAGAATGTTCTTTTTCATGATTTTCAAATTGTAAATAGAATTGGTCCCAAATAATATTTTAGGATTTGTGTGCTAAATGCTCTGATTGGATCCTTTTTCATTATTAAAAAAATTTCAAATGTTTTACATGCATAATAATGACATTTATGTAGTTGGAGCTTGACAATAAAGGACATCTATTTTAATGGAACAAGGAGATGAAGAGGAAGCTGAGAGAAAAAGAGAAGAGTTGAATATGAGAGGAGGATGAAGAGAGTTGAATATGAGTGTTCGAGAAGAAACATTAAGCATGGAGGAGTAGATGCAAGGTAGAAGATTGAGAGAATAAAACGTAAAATTCGTTGAAGTTAAAAAAAATTCACGTAAGCGAATTTTATGTAAAATTTTTTTGTTGTTTTTTCAATTTTCGCTTAAACAAGTGAAATTTTATTTAAGAAACAATTGAAGTGAACGTCTTATTTTCGTGTAAACTAGAGAGAATTCGGATCATACTTGTTAGATCTTTGTTAAGTCAGTTTTAAATAAATTTATATTTTTTTATGACTATTCATATATATTTATGAGAAAATAAGAGATTTTAAACATCATTGTATGAGAAAATAAGAGATTTATATATAACATTAATATTTGAAAAAATTAGAAAAATTAAAGTTACAAAAATAACATCATATTTTATTCTAACACCAGTAGCATAATATTAACAAAAATTAGGTTAGTTATTTTATTTTTTTTACTTATCAAATCAAAAAGTCGTTGGTCTATCTTCCATGTCTTATGCTGTAATTTCTTATCTTACAATCTTTTCTCAATTTTATAATTTTATTTTCCTCAATGATGTGTTGTAGCCTCTAGGCAATATACGAGGATGGTCGTTTCTTGGGGAGGTTTCTTTGGTGGAGAAATCGAATTTGTAATCTGTGATCATAAAGTTTCAAAATTACATAAACTTGATCGAGAAAAGAATTTAAAAGCAAGAAAAATAAGAATAATAGAAAAAATAATTTTGGCTATGTTCCGTAATACGGCAGTTGTCTTGTTTCCACTCCTAATAGGTTGAAGATTCAAGTCGCCAACTCCAAGCTTGAACATTCAAACTAATGCCCACAATCAAAAGCATTTTCGAATTTTGCCATCCTTTTCACATACAGCGTTTGCTAAGCAGGCTAGAACAAAGAAAATTGTGTAGAATAGTTCGACGACGATACATATTTCACCACAAAATCTCTCCTTTTCACTTATTATTTATTTTAATTTTATCACAAAGTTTGATTAGATATAATATAATAGAAAAAATCAGGTTGATATCTACAATGGCTTTTCAAGTTGTGAAAGGTGCTATGCTAATTTATTTTCGTGAACACGATTAAGAGAAATGTTTGGGATAGTTTTTGAATAAATATTTTAAGACAACAATTATATTTTCATAATTTAAGTTGAAATGAATAAATACTAGTTAGTTACTTTATTTTTCTTATTTTCTAAATTATAAGTATTTTTCAGTAAAAATTAATCATGTTCGAGTTAGATAGATTTTTTCTGAAATTTTTATTTTATTTTAAAAGAAATATTTACTTTTATTTATATGTATAAGTAAAATTTTAAGATAATATACTTTTAATTATGCTTTTATGATTCTTAAATCGTTTCACATTTATCACAAATAAGAAAGATGTATCATATTAAAGAGTTCACCAATTTTTTTTTACATAAATAAAGATGTTAATCATGTTTTTCTAATTTGTATCTTTTTAAGTGGATAAACAAAAAGAGCAAAATAAAAATTTCTTTTCCTCAAGATGTCTATTTTTATTCCAATGAAATGCAGATATGCATGATTTAAAAAATTAAAATAAATTGAATAACAGCATTTCAAATCAAGGCAATCGATAATATAAATTAAAAAAAAATGTTTAAGAAACAATATTTCAAATTATAAGGAGGTATATACAAATTAATCCAGGCATGATTTAAACCCAAATGAAAGATATTTCAATTATAACACAATATGGACTTAATTAACTCAAAATAATTTAAGTTAAAAATAAAATATTTTTTTTAAAGAAATAAGATATAGAGATAAATTATTTCAAAATAAAATCTATAATTTAAAAATAAATATACACTTAAAATTTGTGGATGTTATTACCAATGCTTTTTTACATGTATTCGTAAACATGTTCTTTAAGAAATTAAAAAAATGAAAATTATTTATTATTTTAAAGGTATAAAATAGTCTAATATATTTTAAAAAATAATTTTAAATATTTAATAGAAGTCTTACTAATAAATATCAGTTGAATATTGATTAAAAATTTAATAAATAGAAAGCTTTCATTAGAAATCACAGTAAAAAAATAGTAAAATTATAATACATGTTTTTTTTTTTTACTTTTAAAATTTAATTACTGATATTTTTGAATATAGCATTTAAAATGGTATAAAACAACGGGACAATGACAATCGAATAGTATATCGCGGTGAAGCATTAAAAACGTTTAATTGCACCAAACCTTCTCACGACAATTGACTCATTTACAGTTACGATGAGTTACTTTATATCAACACAGAACAATTCTGTAAAGTTAGAAAAAAGATATCCATTGTTTTGTAAGATTTAAATAATTTATAAACCCAATTATTTTTAAATTAATCATAGATAATATTTATTTAAATATAAAAGAAATTAATTTTAATTTTAAAAATAAATATAATCATTTAATAATAATAAATTTTTATTAGAAACATTTATTAAATTAATATTTTTTAATAAAAATTTATTTTTATCAATTATTTAAACTTAATTTTAAAAATTGAAATTAATGTTTCTTATGTTTATGATTTTGTACAAAAATAAAAAAAAAACGACTGACATTCTACTTTTCAATAAAAGATTATTCAATTTTCTGTTATGTTATTTTGGAAAAGAAAAACTTTAAGCAATTATATATTTATTAATAAGCATAAAATAATTATTCTTTAATTTCATAAAATAAAAAATAAAAAATTTAAGATGTAAAGAAAATGAAAAACTATTTAATTTTCCATTATATACTTCATTTTCTATATTAATTAATACCTCTTTTATTTGATATCGTTTACTAAACACTTATTATCTCTATTATTTAATTAATTATTCATTAATTTTATAAAATAACAATAAAAATAAAATAAATTTGTTAAAGCTTAGAAAAGTAAAAAGAATTATATTTTATTTTTTAATCAAAGATAAAAGACTCCTTAAAATTATTCTAAAGATAGATACTTGGAAAATGCATCATCCATGAACCATGCGCACCATAAGTTCTGACCCCATCAACTTCATGTCAAAGGAGTAATATTTGGGTACGGGGAAAGTGCGCCATACCATACCATAACATGTGTTAAGTGTTTTAGTGGGACACTAACACATGCAAGAACCTCACCGACGCCGGTCCAATCTATTCGACGACTAATCAATCAAAATTTAATTTTCTCACAGTATTCGATATCGCAAGATAATGTTCGTTGACATTAACATTGGAAGCCAAAACGTAAACGAAAAATGAGGATGCGCGTCAAAAATTCTACAGTGTTTTCAATGTTTTTGAAAAAGAAAAATATTTGAGGTTGATTTAATAATTAACTTTATTAAAAATATAGTGAAATATTTTTTTTAAAATTTTGGATATTTAAAGTTTCTTTAGAGACTAAAGTTAATAAAAATTGATAAATGCAATAATATTGGCTATATATATATATATATACATAAATTTAAATCGATACTAATTTAAAATTTAAAATTTGATTAATATATTTGATGGGTCATTAATTAAGGACAAGTGATGGCGAATGGTGAAAGTGATTGAGCGAAATTATAGCAACATAATAGGCGAAAGGTCAAGGGGTAAGGGAAAATAAAAGTCAAAGAAAACGGTGAATGGCAAAAGGTGGCAATTAATTGCACTATGGAGGGCATTGGGTTAGGGAAGCAAGGGTGGGACTGGTATGGAGTATATATATTAGCTTTGATGGTGTGATTAGTGATTGAAACGGTAATGTAATGTGCGAAACGAGACGAATGCGATGCGGGAATAGTGGGTAGTGGCGGTTGCAGGTAGAGAAAGATATCATATGGCGAATCAGTTGGGGAATCTGGTGGAGTCAATAAAGTCAAAGGTGAGGTCCCTGAAGAAGGGAAAGAAGCCATACATTAAGATGGACAAGAGTGCCAGCGTCAAGGTTGAGATTCGCAGCAGAAAAGCTCGCAAGTTAATAGAGAAGACCTTGAAAGCTGCTGATACTCCCACCATGCGCCCCCTCTCATGACCAACATCCATCCAAATTACCCCTTTATTTCTTCATTAATATCCATTTCAATACCCTTATTTTACTTCGTTCCAATCTCAATCAACTTGTATATCTAAATCTCCTCAACATGTATATACTAGATTCGGTCTACGAGTTCATAGATTTTTATTTTTGTCTTTTCTGCATCTCTCGTTAGTTTTATTAGATTTATGTGAACTTCTTAAGTGTTTTGTTTTATAAGTAATCGGTATCTTCACCCGTTGTGCGTTCAAACCTGATTCCCGGTACGGATTAATGTGCCTTTCTGAATTATGTTGATTTCAAAGTGAAATAATTTTAAACTTTTCACTTTTTTTTATCTTTCCTGCATTCATTCTTTTTATTTTTACATTTTCCATATTATTTCACTTTCACCCTTCATTAGATGTTAAACAATATATTTGAAAAAAATGAAATAATTAATCACAAACCTTTTCTTTCCTTTATTTATTTATATTTGTGGATTTCTTAAAATTTAATCTGATAGTTGGGAGAAAATAACGAGGTATGGTAGTTGATGGTTAGTTGGGGTTCGAATGGACACTATGTAGGACATATAATGATCGTTAGGTTGCTGAATTTATATAGTACACATTGAATCTCTAATTTTATTTCCTGCTATTAAATGAAGAGGGTGCTTGTAAACAATGTTACTTAAAATTAATATGCAAGTAATATTATTGAGTAATGTTTCTAATATGAATAATTCTAATTTTTATCTTTTATTTTTTTTAAGATAGGGATAAAATAAATTTTAAAAAAAATGACACTTAGTTTTAATCAAACATATTGTATTTAAAAATTGAGTAATTTATGAGTTATGACAAAAGCTAACGAGCTTTTAAGTAGCTTGGAAGTAGGAGTGTCTATTAGATAGGTTAAACCTGTGAACTTGGTTATTCAAATTGATTCAAACCAAAAAATGATCTAAACCGACATTTGACAATTCTGATCTGATCCAAACTGAGTGGATAACAAGTTGACATAGTACTAACCTGCAGATCCTAACGACATACTCGATTAACTCGTTGACTTGCATTTACTTTTTTTTTTTTCATAAAAAAAACACACCTTCACATGCAATGAAGTGTGTTGTGACTTATTTTGAATTTTCTTGTTTTGAATTGAGACTTGTTTTGAATTTGTATTGGAATGTTGTATAATTATATTGACATTATGTGTCAAAAATTATTCGAATGAAAAAAAAGACTTTTTTTATTATTTTTTTTATATTTTTTTTATTTTAGGTTATTTAATAGCACAATCCGATGATTCAAATTGAAGCAACTCATTCATGTTTGGTTTAGATTTTCAAATTTTTTGTCACTAAGTCTGAATCAAACCAAACCAATTCATTTTGATCGATTCAGATTTTTAAATTTTTTTGCACAAATCCAAACTAAACTAATTCATTTTGATCGGTTTGGATTATTTCTTTTCCTCAAATCTGAACCAAATCAGCGTATGGACACCCCTGCTTGGAGGAGTCCCATGCATCATGCAACATGTATTTGTATGTTCATCAAAATCAACTTTGTATTTTGTTTGGCATTACTGTTATAAAAATCAACTTTGGATTCCTAAAGAGAAAGCAAAGCATGTTTAAGAGCTACAAAACGTTGGTGAAAAAGAGAGAGAGAGTTTTTCAGAACATTTTCGATCAGTAATATAGAGAACAAAACGAGAGCTATTATGCATAAACAAAGGCAATGAATAGTGGGTTATAAATATAATAGAATCAAAATGAAGTATCAAACTGAAGTAAGAAAGATGGAGAAAATTGACGAGAATAAAGCTTGTTATTTTTAGGAAGATAAAAATGCTTCCAATTCTAACACCAATGTATTGTATCTCTAGGGTCAATCAGGTATGGCACATGCTAAGGTGATTCACTCTAAGCTATCTTCATAACCTTGTAACAATTTTCTTATTTATAGTTCTAACTTTTTCTACTTTCCTTCCATAATTTAATTTACATTGTATTTGCAGAATATTACTCTTAGGTATATATTATCAGTGAAAATGTGACCATCATCTTGGATCAAAATTTTCATTTTGATTCTTAATTTTAAGATAATGTGGTTGAATAAAAATTACATGTTATATTATTGTAGATCATGCTGATTTGATAATTTTTGAAGGCTTAAACTTGTATTTGACAACTAAAAGAATAAATAATTATAGTATATTTGTTCATTTTTACTTTTAATATAAAATGTAATTTTTAAAACAAAAATAAAAAATAAATAGAAAATAGAATAAAAATATTAAATTTACAAAGACAAAATATATTTAAAATGAATTTGAAATTTAAAAAAGGAGGATTTATGCATCTTTCCATTTTTTTTTAAAATCCCTTCTTTTCAATGTTTACTTTTGTCACAACCTTTTTTTTTTTTTTTAAAAGGATGCATGACATATTGATAAAAATTTTTCTTACGAGAAATTTCCTTAATTTGGAAAATTCAAGAATTATTTCACAATTATTGGCAGAATAAAACTCATAGTTTCAATACTAAAATAGAACCTCAAGGCGTTATCACAACATTCAATACACACACACACACACACACACACACACACACACACACATATATATATATATATATATATATATATATATTCGTAATATTCTGTAATATTATATACATCAGAGTTGCTCAATCTAGAGCTTAAAATACATATTATAAACAAAATTACATGTCTCTAATTTTGGCTAAGTAGCCTAAACTACAAGTCTTCCAAAAGGCATGTTAAACTCCAAATATTCCTTAGCTAGATCGTCCAGCATGAGGAGTAGATGCATCACTTATCATTTTTGCTCGCGTACCATAGTATGATCATTACAGCACATATATCAACATAACAAAAATGCAAGGGTGTGATTATATAAATAATAATCATAATTGTAGAGTATGAATATATTAAAAATTATTTATATAACTCATGCAATTCACACCAATTGGCACATCAGTCTCAATCAATTAAGCAATGTCAGGCTAACATATTTATAAATGGATAATTCTTATTAATTCATAATACATATATTTGGACAGTATGAAATTTCATATGCCGGAATGTGAGTAGGTGATGAGAATTTCCCTAAGCCTCTTGAATTTTGGACCTACTAGGACTAGGACGTATCTCGAGCTACAAAACTCGAAAATGGGTGATTCAAAAACGAGAGGAATATTCACGTTGTTAACCTTAATTTTGACTCAAGAATCACTTAATTTGGATTTGTATAACGCAAGATATGGATAAAAGTTATTCTGGGCTTAATTTGGGGTTTGTTTGGAAGAGAATGCTATGAACCTTAAAATTCAGAATTGGGAAAAAAAATTGAAATTCATACCTTGTAAAGAGAATAAAAGGAAGGAAATATGATAGGGAAGACGCCACAAAAAAAGATGTTTGATAAGCCAACAAGATCGCCACAAGAACGGATGAATTCTTGATAAGATCGGAGGTTGCAAGGAAGAACCCTAGCAGAGAATAATTTCCACTATAATCTGATTTCAATCATGTATATCCTCAAAATAATTTCCAAGTGTTTTAGTACAATTCAGTTTTGGAGTTTGTCCACACGGACTCGACATATAAAAACAAAAACTAATCCCTTTAGCACAGACATGATGTATATGTTCTAGTTGTTAAGTGAGCATATTACATCCTAAGGTGCAAGGGTTCAAATCCTTTGATAGACAATAAAGCATAATAACATGTTTTTACACAAAGTACCAAAATAAATAAATAGTCTTCTAAAATGAATAAAAAGTCTTCAAAATTCAGATTGAAACTTTGGACTCTTCCTTCATTGTAAGTGGGCTATGCATGTGTACACTTTAAAATTCAAGTGTTGGACTTCATCTGGGTGTTGGGCCTCACATTGGGGTTGGGCTTCTAGCATGGCGCTTAGCATGTGTACACTTTAGAATTCAAGTGTTAGACTTCATCTGGGTGTTGGGCCTCACATTGGGGTTGGGCTTCTAGCATGGTGCTTAGCATGTGTTGTAGAGCTTCTTGGGCCTTCCTTGATCTAGCTCTTGTCATGGGCCCTCCTAAGCCTTGTAATGGATCTTGGACTGCTTAGGCCTGCGGTTGGTCTTGAACTTGGGTTTGGGCCTCGGCTTCACTTCTTATGTCCACATCATTCCCTCCTTCTTTAAAAGCATTTGTCCTCAAATATGTTAATTCTTCATTACCTGCATCAAACAAAGACAAGTCAGCCACATTAAAGGTAGCACTCACACCATACTCACTTGGTAGGTCAACTTTGTAAGCATTATCGTTGATTTTGGCCAGCACTTGGAAGGGTCCATCTCCTCTAGGCATCAACTTTGATTTTCTCTGTGATGGAAATCTTTCCTTCCTAAAGTGTAGCCATACCCAATCACCTGGTTCAAATGTTACCCTTCTCCTTCCTTTGTTAGCATGTTTGACATACCCTTCCATTTTCTTCTCAATTTGAGTCCTGACCTTTTCATGCAATTTCTTGACATACTCAGATTTTTCTTGTCTAGATTTATCCTTCAAATGAGAAATATTAGGCAAAGATAACAAATCCAAAGGTGTCAAAGGATTAAAACCATAAACAATTTCAAATGGAGAGCAATTTGTAGTGCTATGAACAGCCCTATTGTATGCAAACTCTACATGAGGTAAACAGTCCTCCCATGACTTAATATTTTTCTTTATGATAGCCCTAAGGAGAGTAGACAAAGTCCTATTAACAACCTCAGTTTGCCCATTTGTTTGGGGATGACAAGTAGTAGAAAACAATAGTTTAGTACCAATCTTACCCTATAAAGTTCTCCAAAAATGACTTAGGAACTTAGAGTCTCTATCACTTACAATGCTTCTTGGTAACCCATGAAGTCTTACCACTTCCTTGAAGAATAGATCAGCCACGTGACATGCATCATCTACTTTCTTGCAAGGTATGAAGTGAGCCATCTTAGAAAACTTGTCAACAACCACAAATATTGAGTCCTTTCCTCCCTTGGACCGAGGCAAACCTAGAACAAAATCCATAGAAATATCAATCC